CCCTCATTCTCCTTTCTCTCATTCTTCCTCCCTTTCTCTCGTTCTTCCCTCATTCTCCTTTCTCTCATTCTTCCTCCCTTTCTCTCGTTCTTCCCTCATTCTCCTTTCTCTCATTCTTCCTCCCTTTCTCTCGTTCTTCCCTCATTCTCCTTTCCCTCTCCCCCTCTCCTTCTTTCCTTCCCTCCCTCCCTTCCCTCCCTCCTCTCCTTCCCTCCCTCCCTTCCCTTCCCACCTTCCCTCCCTCCCTTTCTCTCGTTCTTCCCTCATTCTCCTTTCTTCATTCTTCCTCCCTTTCTCTCGTTCTTCCCTCATTCTCCTTTCTTTCATTCTTCCTCCCTTTCTCTCGTTCTTCCCTCATTCTCCTTTCTTTCATTCTTCCTCCCTTTCTCTCGTTCTTCCCTCATTCTCCTTTCTTTCATTCTTCCTCCCTTTCTCTCGTTCTTCCCTCATTCTCCTTTCTTTCATTCTTCCTCCCTTTCTCTCGTTCTTCCCTCATTCTCCTTTCTTTCATTCTTCCTCCCTTTCTCTCGTTCTTCCCTCATTCTCCTTTCTTCATTCTTCCTCCCTTTCTCTCGTTCTTCCCTCATTCTCCTTTCTTCATTCTTCCTCCCTTTCTCTCGTTCTTCCCTCATTCTCCTTTCTCTCATTCTTCCTCCCTTTCTCTTTCCCTTCTTCGCTCCCATCCTCTCTCAACCCGCCTTCCCTCCCTCCTCTCCTTCCCTCCCTCCCCTTCCTCCTTCCCTTCTCTCCCCTCCCCTCCCTCCCTCCCTTCCCTCCATTCCCTTCTCTCCCTCCTCACCTTCCCTCCCTCCCTCTCCTTCCCTCCCTTCCCACCTTCCCTCCCACCTTCCCTCCCTCCTCTTCTTCCCTCCCTCCCTCCCTTCCCTTCCCACCTTCCCTCCCTCCCTCCCTTCCCTCCCTCCCTTCCCTCCCTCCTCTCCTTCCCTCCCTCCCATCCTCGATCAACAGCGCCTCATAAGCACCCGTTCCTCCTCACCGTCTCCGACCCCCACGCGCTGAACTGGGGCTGGAATCGCACGTTATGGGGAGACACGCCCGCGAACCCACTGTACTTTTAGTGCTTGAGGTCTTACACCCCGATACGTTTCAGCTTTTCATGTGATTCTGATTTGTTTTGTGTGTGTGTTTCTTTTTTTCTTTTCGTTTCGTTTTTTTTTTTCTTTCTTTCTTTCTTTTCATTTTTTTGGTTGTTTGTTTGTTGGCTTGTTGGTTTTCTGATTTCTTTTTTTATATTTTGGTCTTGATTTTTGTGCACATGTACGAAGATACACATACGGACACACACACACACACACACACACACACGCACGTACACACACACACACACACACACACACACACACACACACACACACACACACTCACACACACTCACCAGCCCCCCCCCCCCCCCTCTCTCCCCCTCTTTAATTAAACACCTCAAGCAAGAGATTGTAGAAAACCCCACCTGCTCTTACATGCGCACGTGCCCCCCCCCCATCCCGCTCTTCCTCCCTCCCTCCCTTCCCCCTCTTCTTCCTCTTTCTCCACTTCCTCTTTCATAAATTCATAAATTTCCTTCTCCACCTCCGTTTTCCCCTCTCTCTCTCTCTCTCTCTCTCTCTCTCTCTCTCTCTCTCTCTCTCTCTCTCTCTCTCTCTCTATCTATCTATCTATCTATCTATCTATCTATCTATCTATATCTATCTATCTATCTATCTGCCTCTCTCTCTCTCTCTCTCTCTCTCTCTCTCTCTCTCTCTCTCTCTCTCTTTATCTATCTATCTACCTATCTCTCTATCTTTATCTCTCTCTCTCTCTCTCTCTCTCTCTCTCTCTCTCTCTCTCTCTATATATATATATATATATATATATATATATATATATATATATATATATATATATATATATATATATATATATATTTATCTCTCTCTCTCTCTCTCTCTCTCTCTCTCTCTCTCTCTCTCTCTCTCTCTCTCTCTCTCTCTCTCTCTCTCTCTCTCTCTCACTTCTCCCCCTCCCCCTCTTCTCCCTCGCTCTCCCTCCTCCGTTTCATCGCCGGCCATCCGAAGACAATCTGACAGCAGGGGTTACGCCCAGATTCTCTCTCTCTCTCTCTCTCTCTCTCTCTCTCTCTCTCTCTCTCTCTCTCTCTCTCTCTCTCAGTCTCATTCTATCTATCTATCTCTCTCTCAGTGACACTCCCTGTCTCCCCCCCTCCCTCACCCCCCTCACCCCTCTCTCTCTCTCTCTCTCTCTCTCTCTCTCTCTCTCTCTCTCTCTCTCTCTCTCTCTCTCATCTATCTACCTATCTTGCCCTTGCAATTCTTTTCTATTTGTTCCTTTTCTCTCCCACCCACCTCCCTCACTCCCCTTCTTTATCATTTCCCCTTATTCCCTCTTTCTATCTCTTTCCTTCTCTCACTCCCCTCTTTATCTCACTCTCTCCCCGGTTTTTTTCTCCTTCTCTTTCCTCCTCTTTATCTCTCTCTTTCTACAGGATGACATGATTCCAAATACAAATTCGAACATCTATGACATGACCGCACGTTGCTTTATAAACGTTCGAACACATATGACATGACCACACGATTCGCCATACATATCCGAACACATAATAAGACCAGAAAGACTGCAAAATTCGTCATATAAATACGAACACATACACATTCCCCACACACATTCGAACACATATGGCCACATGGACTATATAATTCCTCATACGCATCCGAACACATACACATTCCCCACACACATTCGAACACATATGGCCACATAGACCATATAATTCCTCACACGCATCCGAACACATACACATTCCCCACACACATCCGAACACACATAACATGGCCACATCATTCCTTATACACATTCGAACACATATGACCAGATGGACCATATAATTCCTCACACGCATCCGAACACATACACATTCCCCACACACATCCGAACACACATAATCAAGACCACATATACAACCGAACACACATCCGAACACACATAATCAAGACCACATATACAACCGAACACACATGGCCGTAGAGGGGACAGTGACACCATTTATGAGGTGCTGTACGGCCGCCCATTACCGTGGGCGTCCAGCCGTTATGCGGGCGGCCACCTCCACCCTCAGTCCTCCCATGCTCCACTTCTTCCTCCCGCCCGTACCTAACGCCGCACGCCCATCCGAGTGAGGGCGTTCGTTTGGGTGAAATGGAACCGGATAATCGGCTCTGCATGTTCTAATTGGCTGGCTCTGTCTGTGCTATCTGTCTGCTTGGCTGCCGTTTTGCCTGTCTGTCTGTTTGGATGACTCTTTGTCTGTTGTTTAGCTGTCTGTGTCTCTGTTTGAGTATTTTGTTAACAGAACATATCAACATTTATATATAGGTTCTTGTACTTCTTGTACAGGTATGTGAACACATTATATATATATATATATATATATATATATATATATATATATATATATATATATATATATATATATATATATATATATATATATATATATATATATATATACATACATACATACATATATATATATATATATATATATATATATATATATAGAGAGAGAGAGAGAGAGAGAGAGAGAGAGAGAGAGAGAGAGAGAGAGAGAGAGAGAGAAAGAGAAGAGAGAGAGAGAGAGAGAGAGAGAGAGAGAGAGAGAGAGAGAGAGAGAGAGAGAGAGAGAGAGAGAGAGAGAGAGAGAGAGAGAGAGAATCAGAGAGAGAGAGAGAATCAGAGAGAGAGAGAGAATCAGAGAGAGAGAGAGAGAGAGAGAGAGAGAGAGAGAGAGAGAGAGAGAGAGAGAGAGAGAGAGAGAGAGAATCAGAGAGAGAGAGAGAGAGAGAGAGAGAGAGAGAGAGAGAGAGAGAGAGAGAGAGAGAGAGAGAGAGAGAGAGAGAGAGAGAGAGAGAGAGAGAGAGAGAGAGAGAGACAGACAGACAGACAGACAGACAGACAGACAGACAGAGAGAGAGACAGACAGACAGAGAGAGAGACAGTGAGACAGAGAGAGAGACAGTGAGACAGAGAGAGAGCGAGAGAGACAGAGACAGAGAGAGGGGGGGTGGGTGAGAGAAAGGGGAGGCAAAGAGTGTCAAAGAGAGAGAGAGATAGAGAGAGAGAGAGAGAGAGAGAGAGAGAGAGAGAGAGAGAGAGAGAGAGAGAGAGAGAGAGAGAGAGAGAGAGAGAGAGAGATTGAGAGAGAGAGAGAGAGAGAGAGAGAGAGAGAGAGAGAGAGAGAGACAGACAGACAGACAGACAGACAGAGAGAGAGACAGAGAGATAAAGAGAGATAGACAGACAGACAGACAGACAGACAGACAGACATATACAGACAGACAGAGCCTGAATCTATCCCTGGACTCTGTAAGGCCAAAAGGTATCACTTCCTTAAACAGTACAACTTTCTAACACACAAACTACGAATTTCTCTGCCATTCTTAGCATGAAGGGTAAGTTAGTGCAGAATCATGCTATACATGAACGGCGCTGTCAGGGCATGACATAGAGGGACCTGTTCGAGAGGGAAACTGTCATATGCATACTGGTGTATACTCCACCGGAATTTTGCGGTTTTTGTGCAGTATGAAAATGTATAATACATTTAAGGAAAAGGTTTGAGATTTTGTGTGTATGTGTATAAGTATATATATGTAGGTAGATAGATAGATAGATAGGTAGGTAGGTAGGTAGGTAGATAGGAAGATAGATAGATAGATAGATAGATAGATGGATAGATAGACAGATATACAGATAGATATGAAAATGAATATGTGTGTGTAGCGTTTTGCCTTTCCTCAGTTTTTGTATACATATAATTCCAGAATTTGGGAGTTTCTAAGCGTGATATGTTATACGATTTTCGTTTTATACAGTAAGAGTAATTTGGTATGAGTTGACTATAGTACTCTGGATATCTCTTCTTGAAAAAAATAATAATATAGCAAAAAAACATACAAGGAAAACTTTCGGACCAACTTTACCTTTAGTCGGGTTCTCATCTTTCCTTCTTCTTCTCTGGCTGCTGTTCTTCCTTCACTCGCTTCTACTTCTTCCTTCAGCTATAAGTGTATCCCTCTCATGAATAGCAACTCATCGGGTTCACCACTGATCACAGACTTTTACTTATTAACTTCGGAGTAGACGTCAGACCATTCTCCCCGAGGTTCTGCGTTTGAAACCAAGAGGATCTCCGACTACGTCCCTGT